TACATAGGCACAATTTTTTTTTATTAACATTTGAAGTTCAAATATTGACTTAATACGTAAAAGTTACGGTAATGTTCAAATTATCTTAGATAGAAATGCATAAAAATTTTCTTTTTAAATCTAAGACTTGAAATTTTTTAATAATTTATATTATATTCTAGACAGATAAACCGTCTCTGCTTAGAATCGTTTTTCGTATACAATGATATAATATCATTGGATTCAAATTCAATTTTATCCATTAGAATAGGTAACCTGTACAGCAGAGCGAAATCCACGACTTTCCCGCTTTATTTCTTATAAGTTACAGTAAAAATGTATTAGTAAAAAAGCTTTTAAATTTAATATAAGGCACCAAATATATTTTTGACGCATAMAATTTTAAAAATACATTGTCACAATCTTTTTTAAGAAGAATTTAAAGTTGGAATTTTGACTAAATTTGTAAAAATAACTAAAATTTGAGATTTATTTTGAGTTAGATATTAATAAAAATTAATATTTTTAAATTTAAGATTTGGGAATTACAAAATACAAGATTATTCATGAGTTTGTCTAATTTTATCATACAAAAAAAGTCTACTGGTAAGTCAAGTTAAATTTGTATRAGTATTTGAATTATAACATTGGATATTCACTCAATTTCTCTACTATTTTTTAGTGTTTGTCGGCGTAAATAATTAAATAGTCCTCTAAATGTATGTTTCTACAAATAAGTATAAGGAATAGGATCAACAAATTTAAATATTTTTATAAGGTTGACTTCAATGATGTATGGTAAATTAATTATTCTATAACTAGGGACAAAAAACTTTGGCCGCAATAATCATCTGGCAGAAAACAATTTCATCACTTCAGTTAACATATAAAGATAAATATTTCGTAAAAATGAATATATAATTAGAAAAGTTTACTTTATTATCTTTATTTCCTCCATCCATTTTCTTTAATTTAGTTGCTTCTAATTGTTGTTGCAGTTCATAACGTTTCATCTCTTCTAATTTTCGATCTTTTGCACGTTGTATGACAGTWAGTACTTCTTTATTTACGTCACGTTGTCTCCCTAACTCATCGTCCATATAATCTTCTATTTGCTCATCTTCCTAAAGTTAATATTTAAGGAATTTTGTTAATTACAGACATTTTATAATATTTAAAATTAAAATTAAATCTAACTTGATGAGATGTTGATGGTCCATATGATTGCATGAACTCTGGGTTACAAGACATGCCTCCGTTGGCATTAATGTGCAAGCACTCTCCCTCCTAAAAAAAAAAATTAAAATTAAAACTTAAAACAAAATATTTGATAAAAGACATTTTTTACCTTTAAATTTTGACTTGTATCATAATTGCCAGTTTTATTACTTAAGTAACCTTTAGCATTATCGGTTCTACTTCTGATATTACTATTCAATGATTGTTTATTTAATTTTTCATTTAATTGGTCTTCGTCATCACTGAAGTCCAATTTTTTACTAATTAAACAAAACAACACAATTAATATTTAAGCCAAGCAATAATAAAATATAACATCTAGTAAAGAAATAAAAACAAGATTATTACTTGTAGTCAATTTCTCCTTGAATAGACCACCCAGTTTCTTTGGAAAGTTCATTCATTCTATTTAAATCTTCTTCACGGATAATTGGAGGAGGTATAAGTTCCTTGATATCAGCAGTAGGTTTACTTAAAACACCATCAGTGGCCATTGATGTTGATGAAATATGGTGAAACATTTTTTCTGATGGATAATTATGTTGTTTGGTATGATATATAATATTATCTGATTGATTTGGAACCATCTAGTTATTAATAAACATATATTTACAAATTTATTATATTTAGTTTTAAAATTAATTTAAAATCATACAAAATTAGGCAGCATATTCCTCATAACTGGATTTTTAGTCATATTATATTGCATCTGATAAGGATTCAGGCCGGCCGGGGCCCCGGCCACCCCATTTTGGGCCGAATTGCTCCGTACGCCATTCACATATTCTGTCCCTTAAAATAAAAGTAAAAATTAATTTCTAAAACAAATAAGAGATTTAGGTTTGATGAATAATAACAGTAAACCAGTGTAAAKTAAGCTCAATTATAGCTTTAATGATTTACCAAATAAAACTGAGTAAGCACAATTATTAAAAATATATACAGTGAAAACTCTCTATAACAAATGACCATGTGATTTCTTTCGTTATTGAGAGTTTTTGTAATAGAAAGTAATTAATAGGTTTTAAATCAAACCAACCACTATAAGTTAACTTAATGTTATTTACGTAATATAGAGTTTTTCGTTATAACGAGTTTCGTTATAAATAGTTTTCACTGTATAATGAAAAAAGTTAGGTATATAAATAATTTAAGAACAAGGGTGTTATTTTTCAATTAAATAATTTATAAAAAAATCATAAATTAAGCATTTTATCATTATTATCACAGAATAAACAAAAGAATTGAAAATCATCTAGATATACAAGTCTAAGGAATGAAATGTGGCCGCTGATGCACACGCTTCTGGTGGTGGAAAATTAAATGGTTTTAAGAGGACGCTACTCGACCATTTAATGTCTCCTACTTACAAATGCATAACATAACACATTTACGCTCAGATTTAGCTAGGATAGATTAAAAAATAAAGTGAATCGATCTATTATGAAACTTGTAGTTAAGATTTATCTGTGTTTGTATGGGTTATTTTTATGATAGTTAAATGTGGTAGCAGGTTATGCGTATATAAAAAAGCGTAAATTTAAGAATGCTAATAACTCATTTAAAAACTATTTTATCGTAAAAAACCCACATACAAACAAAACATACAAATATGTTCTTATTATCAAGTTCCATATAGGTTAATTTATTTAATCTAATTTTTAAAATAACGGAATTAAACGGGATCTACTAGGGGTATATTTGGTATGTTATGCACTTGTAAAATGAAGACAACAAATATGTGGTAGCGTCCTCTTAACTCATAACTCTCACTTCTTAACATAAGGTGTAAGTGCCAAATAGCGGGCAAAAAATTTTGTAAACAATGTTAGTCTTGGATTAAGTAAAATAAAATATAGCAATTTTGCACTGGTGAAGAATAATTTTRCAATCACATAAACATTGTCTTAATTCTAAATTAAGATTAACATTGAGCAAATACTATAAACTAAAAACACTATTTACATACCGGAAGATGTTTGAGAATGAGGTTGACCTGAAACAACTCCAGTAACATTGMCGGCGCCTTGAGGCATTTGGGGTCGACTGCCACCTTGCATCCAACTTGTTTCGGCTAAAAAATCAATATGAGTTTAAGTTATGTAAAATATAACATAATTATAATATTCTTTTTTTACTTTGAGGACGAAGGGAAGGTCTCTGTTCTGTGCTGGCCTGTATAGGTATATTTGTGTTTGTTACATTTTTGTGTTCTCCACTTGAAGTAAGACTTGGAAATTCTTGTTGGAATTGCATAGTACGGTGTGTTAAATAAGGGGGAGTAACTGGAACATCCACAATTTTTTTGGCCCATGTTTTGCCATCGGCATGAGAAGGCTAATAATAATAATACGAACATTAAATTAGTTAAGCTCCATAAAATTAATAAACAATACAAACATACTCTTGTAGTTGTGGTGGTGGYAGTCACTTGAAMGGAAGTAGGATGGGACGAAACATGTTGTTGTCCCTGTACAGGCCCACTTTGGGACAGTTGAGATGTCGTTGTGGCAATAGATGTAGGCGGAATCTCTTTGCCCGCAGCCTAAAATGTTAATATATTTTTAAATCTAAAGATTAATAACCTACTTCTTAAAATATTTTAATTTAGGAAAATTTGAAATCTTACCACAAGTGATTTCTCTATGACTGGTTTGTTCCATCCTCCACCACCGATAGGGACTAGATTAATTGTAGACTCATGGCTAGATTCGGACTTCTCACTTGGTAAATTGACAGGGTTACGAACACTGCGGATAACCTTTCCAATAGACTGCAATCCATTTTTACGTGGTACTATGCTTTTATGTTGGTTACTTTCCGTAGACTCACCCTAAAATGAAAACACTGGTTATTTCTTAATTGCATTTAGCTAATAAAATGATAATTATCATACTATAAATTTATAAAAACATTTCTCTTACTTTATATAAACTATTTATTTTCAATGATTGAAATGAATTCTTTCCTTTGCTTTTCTCCCCCTTCAAACTGACCCCTGGCAATGTAGACATACTGTCTGCAAGGCACCATTTAGATTATACACTTGCCCGTAGAACGTACCTTTGATCTACAAAACAAAATGAATTATGTTATTATTAGATATCATTAAACAATTGGTAAGGAAACAGATTTTTTTTTAATATAAGCATACTAATATATAGGACTAGGGATCTTCCATCACATATATATCAGCATTCTTAACTAAATGTGTTAAAATCTATGCACTCATGATATGCAAGCGTAGCTAAGTACTTAAATACCCACATTGTATTTTTACAAGTCACTATCCTCTAACAATATTAATACAATTATTAATAGATACATTAAACACTATATTAAAATATTGTCGATAGATATATATTATTGAATCTTATATATATATTAATGGATTTCTGGCTGTCTTTTATGCATTCCTAAACGGCTTGACTGATGACGACGAAATTTTGTACAGAGATATATTTGAGTATCAGACCTATGGGCAGAAGATAGGCCAAATTAAAAAGTTATGGGCCCAACCCCGGGAGCTACTCAAACAGACATTTTGAGATTTACAATAGAGATTTTTGTTTATTGATGGTTGATTATTTTTTAATTATTATTATTAATCATTATACTAGATGAACTCATGCACTTCTTAATCCAATAAAAATCCTACCTCTTATATATTTCAAACTGTGTGTAAAATTCATGTCCTGTAATTATACTAGCAGTATATTTTTATACATATAAATAGATTATTGTTAAAATATACTAAATAATAATCTTACAACAATGTTAAATATAGTTTTATCATTATGTAATTTTGATATTTATTGATAATAATTTATTATTTTGGCCTATCACTTTTTAACTTAGCCTATCTTCTGCACAAAGATMTAATATATCTCAGTACCAAATTTCATTGCAATTTCCCAACTGTTTAGGAATGTATAAAGGAAAAATAGATCTATAATTTTATATAAAAGTATTAAAATCCTAGGTATTTAAGGTATGTTGGGTTCATGTAAAGTTGATATTTCAATAACTTTGCTAAACTGACACTTTAACAGATAAAAAAGGCATAATAATGTAATTGACAAATTGTATAAAAAACAAATTTAATTCCAAATTGTATGGACAATTATTAATATCTAGCTATAGATAAATATTAAAATTATTTACTATTTAAGTACCTTAAGGTACTTCTTTACCAAATAGAAAATAATATATCTTTTTCAGGTAAAAATTCATTTTTGAATTTTGATAATAGYTAAGGTATCATAGTTACACTAGAAGCTAATAAAAATAGAAAGAAAAAAATTCATTTTTGATTTATAATTGATACAACCTAGTATCTACTAACATAATATAAAATTAAACTTTAGAAAACATTATTTCTTATTAATAAATAATATTATGATTACCATAAATTTGTCCAAAGTAGTCGATGATGAATTAAAAAAAATGTTTAAATACATTTTACCTTAAAATGACATAACCTTTATGATCATTTTATATTAAATAATATATAATACACTCAATAAAATTAATAACAGCTCAAAAGAAGCCCCGTGAATGATAGTTTCCAAAAGTCACAACTCACAAACACAATAAATAAGTGATAGCAAGGACATTGTTCACATAAATTTATGAATTCTATAGTTCATTTCATCTAATAATCAAGCACACAAAAATAAAGATTCTAAATTTGAATAACAAAAAAAAAATCATTAATAATACTAGTCTAGTAATTGTAGGTAAAACTTATTGATGTATAAATAGTATAAACAATTGTCTTTATGGATAATAATAAATGTATCAACAAGAAAAAAATGAATTGTTTATATTACATACTAAATGTAAATAAATAAAAAAGACCCTTTCATAATGTTATTAACATTTTTCTTGAGACCTTGACCTTAAATTTTTAGCTAAGTGTTTTAAATTAAGTCGATATACTCTGAATTGGGGACSGGTCCAATGTGTGATCTACAGATAAACGGCTATCTGTGAAAAAGCGTTGTAGGTACAACGTGTGATCTACAATAAAAGATACCTATATTCTAACCAAAATATAATCACGATCGCTCACAACGTGATAATTACAACCCACGACTACATGAAGATAGTGAAGAAACTTCAAATTATGAAAATGAAACTCCGGTAGAAAATAACCAACGAAATTATGGAAATAGAATACAGCGACCRTGGGTATTTGGTTTGTGGTGTAATAAAGACAACAATACTAAAGGTCGATTTTAAATTGTAGAAAAAAGGAATCGAAAAACGCTTATACTAATAATAGAAAGCGAGGTAGAAATTGGTATAAAGATTTAAAGCGATCAGTAGCGAGCATATAGTTCTCTGAAGAACCACGGATTTATTCATCAAACTGTAGGTATATCATACTGAAAATTTWGTGGATCGAATACTAGAGCTCATACTCAAACAATAGTCGTTGTGAAAGTTAGTCAAGTCCAAGTATAATATAAAAGTAGAAGGCGCATCTCCACTATTATTAGACAGCCAACTTAGAAGAATGGTGGCAATTTACCACCCAATACAAACTAAAATATTTGGTGATTTTTTTTATCAGATTTAAAAAATATTTTTGCAGTATGAATATAACAAGCAAAATTATAGCAAGCTAATTATACATTGGACCAGCCATATTTTATTGGTAGATCACACATTGGACCAGCCGTTTATCGGTCGATCACACATTGGACCGGTCCCCTGAATTGAAACATTAAAAATACAAATAAGGATAAAATATCTTAACCTAGGATATTCAAATATCATTATTATTAATCCTTCATCATTATGAACCAGGCATAATACTTAAAATTTGTTCTAGGTATATACTTTATTTAATGTGCATAGTTATTTTTACTGCTACTGAACACTATAGACTTAACTTTTTTTATAACCTTTTGGAGTACTGATAAAATGATTTCCAATTGACTCTTAAGTCAAATTATAAATTTACAATAGGTATTAGAAAAAATCTTAAAAACCAATTTATTTGTCACAAACTCATGCCTACATATTATGAATTTAAACAGTCTATTTAGGAAACATTAATTAAGCAATATATAATAATCCACTATCCTTAATAAATAAGAGATTGCTTAAATGAAATTACCCGGCTGTTGTGAGTAAGTTGTTTGTAATAGTTTAATATGTATATATATATGGCTATAAAATGTATAAATTATAAAAATAATCAATGTTTTTAAAGGCTAATCATTATATGATGAATAAATAGGTACATCCAAGATATTCAAATAACTGAACCAAAATCAATCATAAATTAGGATAGACAGCAACGATTTACGGTATGAAGAACACAATAACTTAACTCTAAACAAAACAAGTAAACTATGAAATATTATGTAGAGGTGAACAAAAAAATAAAATAATGATGATAAAATAATGCAGGTTTGTGTAAATAGTATTATCAAAAGGACCCTAACAKAATGTTGAATCAATGATAGGTATCAACATATGATGATCTCATCAACTCTGTATTAGTTAAATGAATGTTGTGTATATTGATTCTATGCAATGAAACCTATGCAAATCAAATCATCTAAAAAAAAGCATGAGAATACCAATGATTTACAACAAAGTCAATATTGTGCACATTCAACATGACGGATTCCTAACCACTGAAACAATTCTAAAATATAACTATTGCAAGATATTTGCTTTACAAGATCTTTATTCAGCTGCCAAGGTCCATATGACAAAATTATAGTGGTTAACTATTTGTTGACCAGCAGGACCGATATTTAGTGAGTAAGATTAGGGCGTGCACAAAGAGATATCTCGGGAGTATTGTCTAAAGCCGTAGTTAACCTACCTATCGATAAACACGTCGTAAACTCAAAAGAATTGGCAAGTTTTTTAACTACAAAAAAGAATATTTGGTGGGTCTAACGAGAAGAGGCCTTTCCGACAACAGGCCCAGCGACCGTAGGCAAGTCGGTACCTACTAGACTCACGGGTTTCAGAAGGCTTAAGAATGAAGTTTGGGCCGGTGACACGGAGCCGGCTAATATTTTGTTGTTGTACCTAACATTACGCGGGGGCGGCGGCAGTAACATCAGTAATGACGTCGTGTCGTCGTCCGCCATTGCTGATGTTGCTGCTGCCGTAACCGAAGCCGAATGTTCGCCCCGACGACAATAATRATGTTGGTGTACTCACATAGGTCCGTCCAAATGGGTGCACGCGTGACAATTGAATGATATCACCCGAAAAGAGTGATCAGAGTGCGTCAGAGAGTTGCGATTTCGGAAAAACTAACACGACGCGAAAACCTGAGTCGAAACGATCGTCGATTTATTATCAAACATAACGTTGAAAACACAAAATGGCGTCGTCTTTGGTATTGAAACCTTCATTCAACACATTTTTGCGTTGTGCCGCTTGCCCGCCACGCCTACAATCTCGACCAGTCAGCCACGCGCAGTGCTGGCGCGCCCGGGGATTTCGGCCGGGAATTCTAGCACCGCCGTTACCGCTGCCCGGTATTATTATTATGAATGTTATTATTTTTGTAGTTTGTCCCGCCGACCACCGACCAGACCGTCCGCAGTCTGCACGAGTTTTTGTGTTGGTTTTATATTTTTCACAACAATGATTGTCGGTTGCCTATTGCCAAAATTAATGTCTATTGTCTATCCGTCGGAAAGTTAGTTATCAGACATAATGCGTCTTTTAATGATAGTATGATACGTGCACGCGTGTCTTCAACTCTCCCCTACCGCCCCCTCTCTAGACAACATGCCGTCGCGCGTCGTCTTTGTCTGGATTCTGAAACACTTYGTCGGTACTCGGTTGTCCATTGTTGCAGACTGCAACATAGACAAGTACACGAGTATACAGTATACTGTATACTCATGGTCTCTCATCTCTTAAGCAATAATATTTTGAAATATTTATGTACAATATAATACTTCCTTGGACCGTGCACGAGGTTTTTCCGTAATTTTTCACGCGCGGCGGTTCATTTCCGGTTTGGCTCGGGTAAAAGCCGCCGGAAACGGCGGAAACTGCCGCGATACGAGTGGGTTGTTTAGGTATGTGGGAGGGGGAAGAATTATCAAAGCCAAGAACTTGATTGTGGCAGCGGAAAATCGAACGCGGGTGGTTGAGAYTCGTGCGCGCTACAGCAGCTACAGCGGCCGTCGAGGGGTGGTGAAAATGACGTTGACCCGCGGCCGACGTCGACGGCCTCCACAGCGCCCCGCACCACCACACCGCACTCTAAGTCACCAACTATAAGCTGGTGCTATTCACTCCCCAAACACTGCCGCCAGTTGAACGACCTCCGAGAGTTGTACATGTACAAACGCACCGTACCTGGTGACTGGTGTACGATACACTCACGCGTCTACGCACACGCACATGTAATAATATTGYATACAGGGTGATTATTTTAAAACTATGCACACATTTTGTTTGCGCGAAATTCTCTGAAACAATATTTTGTTTGAAGATACTACAGTCGTGAACATTTTTTTTTTTTTTTAATGCATAAACGATAGAAAATTATAATAAAATATAATTTTATTCTCAACACTGTTTTGAAATTACTATAAATGGTGTTGTTATAGGTATATTTTTAAAAACGAGTCAACAACCATACCCAGACCCTCAGCGCGCTCTCCGTATATACGCGTAGGTACACCTCTTGTGGGCCTTCAGTCGTGCACAAGCTGTTTGTATGATAATATTATTATTATTAAACATAAAATTAAAAAAAAACTTCTACCTATATTCTTTATTATGGYCGTAATGTAGCGACGTAAAATGTGTGCCTGTGTGTGGTTCAGAACTCATCACCGCGCGTTTCACATATCGATACAGGCGATACACCGTGCGTAATGTGACTTGCGACGTATGCGTTTCAGCCGAACCCATGGATCCGGCACATTTTGATAGTTAGGCTGAGCTACAGTGGTTCAAATATGGGGGGAGAGTTAAGTAAGATGAGATTTAGGGCGGGACTAAGTGGGTTGCAGCACAGAGATCATAATATGACGTTCCCTTCTTTGACTTTTTATTATCTATAACTTCAAACTTGGTWAACTAAATAAGTAGCAAGTTAAAAATATTAATCAAAAAATGAGCTGCCTCTTTATTTTTTTGGGACATTACCAAAAATTTCACACTTGGGCCTTGGGGCAAATCCTCACAAAAATTCTAGAAGCTCCTTCAAAATATTGAACAGAACATAGGTATTTATATAAATATATCATCTTTACAACGTTTATTTATTTTTAAATAAAATTATCTTCAGCGACTTGAGGCTCCCATAACAATATTTCCTGTCCATGCCACTGCGTTGGCATCCAAATATGTTTAAAGTTTTAGAGACTGGCTTGAAAAATATTCGTACAAATTAAATAAAAATTGTTCCCAGAGTTGAAGGGAGTGCTTTGAATCCTATGACGCCGTTTGTTTTTCATCATTTAATCGTGGAATATAATATATTTTGAAATATTTTACGCACCCAAATTTTCATTAACATATTTTAACAGCCTTTTGTCATAAGCACAATTACATGCAGCTTGAGAGTGCCAATAGTGACCACTAAGCGTCCTCGCTGCACGAACTATACGAACAGCTACCACARTAATAACAAATTTCAAATAATTGTATATAGTAGGTACATTACGCTAAAACCATTTCTAATTCCCATACATTTTCAAACTGATAAATAGGGCCCGGAAWTATATGGGCTAAAAATCTAGGAAATATGCATGMATATAATATATTGCACTGATTTTCATTCAAATATGCACTTAAAATATGTGAACGAAATTTCATTTTAATTAAATTTATTTAATTTAAAAATGTTTATAATTCATTAAATAATTAATAAGGTATATTAATAACAAAAAAATGTATTAAAAGTCAATTTGATATAATTTAATTGTATTTTGTATGATACTTTTAAATTTCAATAGTATGTTGCATTTTTAATATTCATTCATCTAAATAAAAATGGATAAACAAAAATCAAATAAAACAAATTTATTATATTTTTATAATATTTCAAAATTACACGGAGAATTAATGTTAAATACTAAAGACTTGGGTCTTGGATACATTTTTAAATAAAAATGCACTTCGATTTTCAGGCTAATTTTTTCTTTTCACATCCGCGGGTTTTACATATGACATAGCATTAAGTATTATAGTAATATTAGCATTAATAACATAATAGGTACTATTTTTTCATAAATATGCATTTTATTTTAGAAAAATGCTTTATATGCATAAAAATTCAAAATGTTCCAAATATGCAACCACATACAATTCAAATACACTGCGTATATTTTTTCCAAGAAGACTTATACGTATATTATTACTTTGTGCGCACAAGACAATAAGTATTATTTTAGGTACACAGTGTAAACGGTGCTTTATTAGGTACCTATGCTCAAGCCTCTAATGCGTATAATATGCCTTGTTATTTAGTTGTACGTAGTATGATATTACAGTATGTATATTAGTCGATTAATATAGTACGCCACAGTGTAGCTCTAGCATTAGCACGTTAAATTGATATATTAGATCATTTCGCCACGGCCGTCTACTATTATACATTCTCATTGATAATATTTTTCTATCTATTCAACCATATTAAGTTATGGGTACATTACGCATTACGCTATCCCATAGGAAATTTACCTTATTACTTTGATCACTTACAAATGAAACACAACAATGTAAATTATAATAGCTTCTCTGAGTTCTCTATTATTTACGAACAGGCCTATAAATAATTGTTGTATCAGCTTTTCTTATCTGCTCGTATAATATAACATTGTGTATATAATTTATACCATAAGCATATTATAGTGAGTAGTGACAGGGAGTCCGAATGGCTGCAAGATGGCCGACTTCGTTATCATTATCAGTTATCACAGATTTTACCATCAATTCATGTCTTAAAATAATATATTTCTTTCCCTACCTTATTTATACCAGAGTTGTATTCTAAGTCTAATATAAAAATTCCAAGTTTATTATACTATACTACTATAGTGACAGTAAAGTATCTGATTACTTTATTTTATTTTAAATATTGAACAGGTAAAATAAACTCAGTACTCAGTAGTCAGTACATCAAATACTTCTGAAAATATTTATGTTTGAATGAATGATCATCAAAAATGAATTTTTACTAATTGTTAAAAAACTTGTCTGTTTAATTACATGTATAATACTGTGTAAGTTTATACCACTACTTGAATTTAAGATTTTAAATGTTTTATTCCTCCCTTTTCTTGATGTACYAACTTGGAATATTGTTTTAATTGTTTGTTGTTTATTTTTTTTTTATGGTTTTTGTTAATTATGTTACGGAGGCCTATGGATGTCACTCTCGGGATATATAAATTTTTCTATGTATTATGAGGGTTATAGCTTATTAATAACTAACTGAAATATCATCATTTTTGATRATTATAGATTATTAATAAACCTKGAATWATAAACAATATAATATAATATATACTATTTTTAGAATAAAATTATACCTAKTAAAATCTGTGATAACTGATAATGATAACGGAGTCGGCCATCTGCCCATCTTGCGACTTGCAGCCATTTGGATTCCCTGTCACTAGACGCTTGTATTCAGACTTAWTCGCTAATTAATGTTTTGAAATGCGTATATTATGAGGACAATGTAATCGATACTTGTTTTCTGAAAACGATGAGGGGGAAGGGAAGTAATGTAACTAGGTGGAATAGTTTTTAAATAAAAGTCTGCCTACAAGACACCAAAATTTTAAGGGATGTTTAATTAATAATTATGCGTATACGTCATCTGTGACCTGTGTACGAACTTGTAATATTTTTGACGTACCTATGTCCTATATAATATATATCATAGTAATTTATTGTCGGGCGTTTATCGTAGGTACTGTTTTAGTTTTTCTGYTTTCTTAACCTACTGTCGTTCACGTCACAGTCAATAGGTAATACAAGTATATTATAATTTATTAGTTACCTAATCGATTTATCATTAATAATGTCTAACTTTTATACGATAATGTATTTTATTTATATTGTTTATTCAGAATTTTCTGAATTGGTGTGTTGTGTTGAGTGATAACGCATTATGTGATTTATTAAACCATAATGGTTTAATATTATAGGATACCGYGTGGGAAAGTTTTTGCTAACGACTGAAGAGTTGTTAAGATTCTGTAATTTTTTAAGCACATTTCAAATTGATCCGGTTTAAGCATACTAACGCTATCAATTTTATTGTTTCGATTTCAAAAGTAAAGGTTTGTAATAAAAATGAATATTCATAAATAAATTTAAGCAATAAAACTGTATATTTTGAAATAAAAATGTTTATGTGTTATAAATATTTT